ATGGTTTATAATGGCAAATGATACTTTGAATATTACATGTTAATAACTTGATTGGAATTATAACCTTGAATTGACAGTTTGATACTTTGAAAATTTTGAGCCAGCCCTACCCCCAAGGGCTGTAGGGTGGGGCTCAAAGGAGTCAGTGTGCTAAAATTTCTTCATTTTCCTTGTTAAGAATCAGAGGTGCTAGTTTCAAATCCTTTTTAGTCTGAAATCTGTATGCTAGATATTGAGTAAGGTGGTTTTATTGTTTTTTGTCACTTTGAATAATATTTCTGTTCGTGTTAAAAACAAAATCAACTCTCTGTATAAATATATCAGGTGACCGTTAAGGCCCATGGGCCTCTTGTTCTAATTCCATATCAAACTTGGTATGATTAACCTTTATTGTGACAAACCATAAATGTGAAAAAAGATCACTTAAACAATTTAATCTGGTAAGAATGTCTACCTGTAAAGACTCATTTGAAATGTTGGTTGTAGCCTGGTATATTCCAAGCCGTGAAGGACCATGATGTGGAGAGAGTGAAGGACCTACTTCACTGTTGGTGTAAGATGGACTCTGAAAAGGCAAGTGCTGGTTCACGTCCCTGTCATAGATATCACAAGTACTGGTTCACGTCCCTGTCATAGATATCACACAAGTACTGGTTCACGTCCCTGTCATAGATATCACAAGTCCTGGTTCACGTCCCTGTCATAGACATCACAAGTACTGGTTCACGTCTCTGTCATAGATATCACAAGTACTGGTTCACGTCCCTGTCATAGATATCATAAGTCCTGGTTCACGTCCCTGTTATAGATATCACAAGTACTGGTTCACGTCCCTGTCATAGATATCACAAGTACTGGCTCAAGTCCCTTTCAACAACCTCCTTCCAACTTCATCCAAACACCTCCACTACAAACCGAACTTCCTATTATCCCACCCAACCCTAGCTATTTTGTCTTCTTCTTACCCTACCCAATTTGTTGCCCACTTCTACACACTAGAAACTTCATCACACCTGACACAGCCAAACCTCCTTTCCTATATTACAACCCCACCATTGCTCCAACAGTTGTCCTGTATGACAACCCCACCATCGCTCCAACAATTGTCCTGTATGACAGAATGTAATAATGTAACACAGAGTTACACTGCTTCCTACCCTGTACAGAATGTAATAATGTAACACAGAGTTACAATGCTTCCTACCCTGTACAGAATGTAATAATGTAACACAGTTACAATGCTTCCTACCCTGTACAGACTGTAATAATGTAACACAGAGTTACAATGCTTCTTACCCTGTACAGAATGTAATAATGTAACACAGAGTTACAATGCTTCCTACCCTGTACAGATTGTAATAATGTAACACAGCGTTACAATGCTTCCTACCCTGTACAGAATGTAATAATGTAACACAGTTACAATGCTTCCTACCCTGTACAGAATGTAATAATGTAACACAGTTACAATGCTTCTTACCCTGTACAGAATGTAATAATGTAACACAGAGTTACACTGTTTCCTACCCTGTACAGAATGTAATAATGTAACACAGTTACAATGCTTCCTACCCTTTACAGAATGGCCAGACTTTACGTCAGTTCGCCGCTGCTCACAAACATCACGACATTGTCAGTTTACTGGACAGACATCGGGCTACAATGGTAAATATACACTTATTAATAAAATGGCTTTGTGGGTGCAGGTCACCTTGAAACAGCCTATAGTATGAACCTGTACATTTCATTCAAATGTAAACATTGGCCTGTGTCAAAGAAAATGTTATATACGTCCCTTGTTTATGTTTATTGAGGTACATGATTATGTGTTGTTGTTTACATACTTGTGTGGGTGTTTTTTTAAAATAAAATATGATTTGCTTTCCATCTCTCCAATTCACTACAACAAGCCAATGATGTTCTGATAGTCCCGCAAAGTATGAAACATGGAAGTTCGACTGTAATTTAGAAACTGATCATGAACCACTGTGCAGAAAATGTGGAAATGTAATTTTGGTGCATTGTACATTTGACTTTGACTCACTTTATAAAATCACAAATGTGAAATGTTTTTACAGATACTATTCAATAACAAGTAAACATTACAAATCTTTTGTTAAGCAGGTCTTGCTGTTTTTTAAAATTTAGTTCCAAAATACCATTTTGATTTGGGTTGAACAGTGGGGCTAGCTCCTGATGGCATTATCACTACCAATGAATTCAATTCCTTCTTTGAAAGTGGGGCCGTGGTGGCCAAGTGGTTAAGGCGTCTGACATTCTGCTACCACTAGCCCTCCACTACTGGGTCGCGGTGGCCAAGTTGTTAAGGCGTCTGACATTCTGCTACCACTAGCCCTCCACCCCTGGGTCGCGGTGGCCAAGTGGTTAAGGCGTCTGCCATTCTGCTACCACTAGCCCTCCACTACTGGGTCGCGGGGGCCAAGGGGTTAAGGCGTCTGACATTCTGCTACCACTAGCCCTCCACTACTGGGGCGCGGGGGCCAAGTGGTTAAGGCGTCTGACATTCTGCTCCCACTAGCCCTCCACCATTGGGTCGCGGTGGCCAAGTGGTTAAGGCGTCTGCCATTCTGCTACCACTAGCCCTCCACTACTGGGTCGCGGTGGCCAAGTTGTTAAGGCGTCTGACATTCTGCTACCACTAGCCCTCCACTACTGGGTCAAGGGTTCGAGGCCTACGTGGAGCAGCCCTTAAATAACCCTAGCTGTTAAAATAGGACGTAAAACACAAACAAACCAAACCAAAATGGAAAGTTTGAACCGACTTTTCAACAGCCTTTTTAACAGCCAGAATATTATCTAATGTTTTAGTTGTGGCTTATTTACTATTGAGAGACTTTCAAATCTAACAATCTAGGGGAGACAACTCTCCATTGGCAGCATGAGTTTATCAAATACATTTTCAACAGTTCAGCTGATTAGCAGATGTTGTTGGATTACTATAGGCTGCCAGAGGAATATGTGATAATGTTTTATTACCAAAAGGAACCCATTCAAAACAATGTTATTTCACAGTTATTTCATAGTTATACTACGAGTTAAAGTTGGAAAGCTGAAGAATGTTTGTATGTTTATGTAACATAGTTTTCAAATCCAGATAAAGGATGTTATTTGATGCTCGTGTGATCTTTTACTAGGATGCTATATATGGAGTTCTCCAGCTGGACTACGAGAAACTTAAACGAGGATTAAAAAAGACAAGGTGTGATGTCAATTTCCTCAACTTGGTAAGAGAGATATCTCTTGATACATCGTATTTTGCAAAACAATCATTTCGAAAGCAAAGTTTTCAGACAAATTGCAGACAAATCAAATACAGACATTAGCCTGTTATGAATATTGTCAGCAGTCCTGCTCAGAATTGTAAATAAATAAAGCAAAACACGAAGACTAGTAGTAGTATAATCGGCTAGCGCTAATTTGCCAATCTTGGGGCTCTTCAGGCGATTTAAATGTATATGTGACAAATAAATTTAAATCGCCTGAAAAGCCCCAAGGTGGGCGAAAGTGCTAGCCGATTATACTAGTCTTCGTGTTTTGCTTTATTTATATTTTTACCGTCACATGGACATTAAAACTATGTCTTGCTATATTTATATATATATATATATATATATATACTATAGAATAAAAACATAAATCTTCCAGATCAACCGCTAGGCCTTTCTGCCTTCTAGGGGTTCTTCAGGTGTATTGATGTTTATTTATCACCGTTGATATATATATACTTATATTTATGTTTTCCATTGACTTTGAAAATAAATTGAGATGAAGATTTCATATTTCTTATTAAAATTTGACTTAGATTTTCAATTGATGGAAAAGCCAACAGCCAGTATCTGCCAACTGTCTCCAACATTATAACTAAGACATGATAATTGTAACAGTTATGTGATCTCACAGCTGACTTTGGTAGTTTTATACTCTAAATGCAGTGTATGGTAGTTTTATACTCTAAATGCAGTGTAAATGTAAATAATATTGTTATACAGACAGTATACATTTAAATGTAAGTCAAATAATACAGACAGTATACATTTAAATGTAAATATTATAATACAGACAGTATACATTTAAATGTAAGTATTGTAATATAGACAGTATACATTTAAATGTAAATATTGTAATATAGACAGTATACATTTAAATGTAAGTATTGTAATACAGACAGTATACATTTAAATGTAAGTATTGTTATATAGACAGTATACATTTAAATGTAAATATTGTAATATAGACAGTATACATTTAAGTGTAAATATCGTAATACAGACAGTATACATTTAAATGTAAGTATTGTAATATAGACAGTATACATTTAAATGTAAATATTGTAATATAGACAGTATACATTTAAATGTAAGTATTGTAATACAGACAGTATACATTTAAATGTAAATATTGTTATACAGACAGTATACATTTAAATGTAAAAAAATTAATATAGACAGTATACATTTAAATGTAAACATTGTAATATAGACAGTATACATTTAACTGTAAATATTGTAATACAGACAGTATACATTTAACTGTAAGTATTGTAATACAGGCAGTATATATTTAAATGTAAATATTGTAATACAGACAGTATACATTTAAATGTAAATATTGTAATATAGACAGTATACATTTAACTGTAAGTATTGTAATACAGACAGTATACATTTAAATGTAAATATTGTAATACAGACCGTATACATTTAAATGCAAGTATTGTAATATAGACAGTATACATTTTAATATCAATATTGAAATAAAGAATGTATTAAATTAAATGTATATATTGTAATATAGACAGTATTCATTTAAATTTAAATATTGTAATATGGACAGTATACATTTAAATGTAAATATTGTTATACAGACAGTATACATTTAAATGTAAATATTGTAATATAGACAGTATACATTTAACTGTAAGTATTGTAATACAGACAGTATACATTTAAATGTAAATATTGTAATACAGACCGTATACATTTAAATGCAAGTATTGTAATATAGACAGTATACATTTTAATATAAATATTGAAATAAAGAATGTATTAAATTAAATGTAAATATTGTTATACAGACAGCATACATTTTAATGTAAATTTTGTAATATAGACAGTTTACATTTTAATATAAATATTGAAATAAAGAATGTATTCCATTAAATGTAAATATTGAAATAAAGAATGTATTCAATTAAATGTAAATATTGTAATACAGACAGTATACATTTTAATGTAAATATTGTAATATAGACAGTATACATTTTAATATAAATATTGAAATAAAGAATGTATTCAATTAAATGTAAATATTGTAATACAGACAGTATACATTTTAATGTAAATATTGTAATATAGACAGTATACATTTTAATATAAATATTGAAATAAAGAATGTATTCAATTAAATGTAAATATTGTAATACAGACAGTATACATTTTAATGTAAATATTGTAATATAGACAGTATACATTTTAATATAAATATTGAAATAAAGAATGTATTCAATTAAATGTAAATATTGTAATACAGACAGTATACATTTTAATGTAAATATTGTAATATAGACAGTATACATTTTAATATAAATATTGAAATAAAGAATGTATTCAATTAAATGTAAATATTGTAATACAGACAGTATACATTTCAAAAAAAATTGTATAGCTTCCATTTATATACATTGTTAACCTGAAATCCTCTCTGTAGTCGGTGCCTAGATTTTTCTAAGTAGATAA